GAGTTTAGGAACCATGGGGAGCTCACTGGAGGAACTGGGAGCCCTGGGAAGCTCACTGCAACAGCTAGGAGCCATCCCCTCTCCCCCAGTATTCACGGATTTCACCATTAGTGGTGGTGCCAGAAACTCATCCGTTGTGAATGGCGAGGGCTTACTGTACTTATCCGACAATGAACATTTTGTGGGACCTTAGGAGGGTCTGCCTGTGCAAAACTCATTGTAAGATCCACCAGTCTGGATTCCCTGAATAAGAATTAATTACTTAATTAATCTAGACCATTTATTCAGTGTTGCTTGGGTCCTTACTCAAATTTTATTTTTCTTCATTTAAATCATTATTCTAGGGTGGGACTGGGGCTTGAGGGCTTCAGTATTTGGGCTGCGCTGGGGAGAGAGGACAACACCAGCCCTCTCACCATAACAGCTTGGGGCCAGGTGAGAAGCACCTGTCCATGGCCACTGCAGCTCCAATGGGCACAGCTGAGGAAGGGGCATATATCCCCTGGCTAGAGGTCAGGCACACAGACAGACACAGAAACAGACAAATTCTCTGCAATAGATAGTAGCTAGCTGTCCCTTTCTCCGCTGCTACTCCCTTCTGGCCCAGTAAGGTTAAAGCTGTCCCAACAGCCATCTCTGGCCCTTTGTTGCCCCCATTCATTCTGCTGTATAAATCCCTCTTGCCAGACCCCTCCTTTTCCCTTTTATGAGAAACAGTCAAATTCCATGCACATCCCATTATTCTGGCATAACCAAACCCTGGCCTTGCTTTAAGTTATGATAAGTGGAAGCTGCATATCAAATTTGGTGGTCTTAGCTCTTACCATTTAGGTACAAATGGACTCATAAGTATGGACAGACAGACACATTTCTAAAATATATAGTAAAAGATTATTACAAAGAAAAAGAAGTATCCAGTGTACAGTCCCTTTATGAGGGTATTAAGTCAGCTAAGATTTTTAAGTAAAAAGAAAAGAGAGCAATTGCTCTAGTAATGTAATAATTAATAGTTATTTTAACATTGATAGAACTGATAATCATGTGTGGCATTAGAGTAATTAGCTAATGAGCTTACTAAACCATTATTCATTATTTTTGAAAGCCATGGAGAAATGGATGATACTAAAATGCTGGAGAAATACAAATATGGTCCAAGCCTTCAGAAAAAAGGGAGAAGGGTATTTCTGACAATAGCTGTCCAGTAAACCTAGTAAAACAATGGAACAAATATTATGAAGAAAAAAAATCACTAAACATCTAGAATGATATAATCTCTTCTGCTATCAGACATGGAAGATATATTATGAAATGTTGCCGGAAAGTTAAGATATTGACAGGTTGGATAGAGTACAGAATAACAGAAAGGAATAAGGGGCTGAAAGAGTTTAATTATGAGAAAAGATGAAAAGCTTTTGTTAATGTTTAATTTGTCTAACTAACAACTAGAGCTTTGTGGGGTGGGACACGATAACTGTCTGCAGATATGTGAAGCGCACACCACAAATTATTTAGGGAGGTACAAAGAGTTATTAATTAGGAGTATTGTGATAAAATAAAGGGAAATTCAAACTGATTATCAAGAAAACTTTCCTGACAGCAAGAGCTACAAGACTGTGGAATATTCTCATAAGGGAAGTTGTGGAAATTATACTGCTCAGATAATTAAAAATTACATTGAATAAAGGTCTAGACCAGTGACTCATAAATATTTTGGCCCATGACCCACCCCACTCAACACAAACTCTTCCGCAGACCACCAGCCAACCACCCATGATTATTCTATGATGACAAAATGGGTGCAAGAGCAGGCTGAGGGTTTGAGATCTGTATGAGACAGGGTGCAGGAACAGATTGAGGGTGTGGAATCTCAGCACAGTGGGTGTATGCGAGGGAGATGGGAGTATGGGGTCTGAGCATGAGGGAGATGGGGAGGTGCTTACTTGCTGTGTGCCCCCTGCCGCTCCTATGCACTGCTCCTCACTGCTCCAATTGGCTGAGATTCCAGACAACAGGAGCAGTGGAGAAAGCCTCCAGGTACAGTTTCCTGTGTTGCCATTTTCCCAAACGGACGTGGGGGGATCAGCAGCGCATGGACATGCTTCCTGCCCCTGCGAACTGGTTCCTACCCATGAGGCTCCAGACTCCCCTCCACCCCCCAGCATGAAGCTGGAACTCCAACAATGTGCCTCCACCCCCTAGCATGAAGCTGGAACTCCAACAACGCGCCATGGACCACACTTTGAACTACTGCTCTAGACAAAATATAGTAGGGAACAGTCTTGCCTTACCAGGGGATGAACTAGATGCCCTAGTAGATTTTTTTTTCTATATCCAATTTCTTTGAGTCAGAGATCCTGCATTATATTTTCCTTCTAAGTATTAATATTGAATTGAAAAAAGTGACCATGTTTGTATGGCACAATTTTTTTTTAAACCCATGCTAGTTATTGCTTGTAGTTCCATCATCCTGTAGGAGCTTAGAAATTATTTTCCTTTTGGAGAGTTGCTTGGTTCTTTGAACAGTGAGTTAAGTTAGGTTTTTCAGTGAGTAATTATCAGAATTGACTGTCCATCCTTTTTGGAACGTTAGTGTCCCTTTTGGGTTATCTCTCCTCCCTGCCCCCAGTACTCAGGTGTTTCTCCAGATTTCCTTGACTTCATAACAATATCAGTAGTTCAGTACATTTCTTATCAGATAATTAATTTAGTAGCCTTTGTTGTAGGCCCTCCAGACCCATTGAATTAGTATAGATCGTTTTTGTTAAAGCATTCTTCATTTTTTCTTACTATTAGTACCATTTTCATCTTTTTTTCTTGTTATTAAAAAAGTTCATTAGCTTTTAGAATCATTGTCAATTTCCTGTCTTTCACTTCTCTTATTAATGAACCCACTGTATTTATTTTTATTTTCTTCTGATATATTTTTAAATTGTTTCCTTTTAAAAGGAGAAATGCTTTTTGGGAAAATATAAATGACAGTTTTGAGAACTCAGGAGATTAGCAGGGTGTATCTGTAAAAAATACAGAGATATAAGATTATAAAAGACAGTATTTGAAAATCAGATTCTCCCTGATTGCCAGTGCTAAGCTCAGGGTACTTCATGTCCCACACTATATCTGATAACATCACTAATGCCATAAACCTTGTCCTGTAAAGCAACATGTAGACTAGAATTCTACTGAAGCCAGCAGGACTTCTCATGAGCATAAGGTTTTGTTCAGTTGCAGGATTGTGGCCTAACACAATAGTAGGATAGAAATGTAGCCGTGGTAGTCTGGTGTAGCTGAAACAAAAAACAGGACTATGTAGCACTTTAAAGACTAACAAGATGGTTTATTAGGTGATGAACTTCTGTGGGCCAGACCCACTTCCTCAGATCAAGTAGTGGAAGAAAATAATCACAACCATATATACCAAAGGATACAGTTAAAAAAATGAACACATATGAAAAGGACAACTCAAATTTCAGAATAGAAAGGGGATGGAGGGGGAAGGTAAATGTCTGTGAGTTAATGATATTAGAGGTGATAATTGGGGAAGCTATCTTTGTAATGGGCAAGATAATTAATGTCTTTGTTTAAGCTTAGGTGTAAAGTGTCGAATTTAAGCATGAATGACAGTTCAGAGGATTCTCTTTCAAGTGTAGTCTTAAAAGGTCTTTGAACCGGGATGCAGGTAATCAAGTCGTTGAGACAGTGTCCTTTCTGGTTGAAATGGCAAGAAACAGTTTTTTCTTTGTGATCACAGTTTCTTGCCATTTCAACCAGAAAAGACATTGTCTCAACGACTTGATTACCTGCATCCTGCTTCAAAGACCTTTTAAGACTACACTTGAAAGAGAATCCTCTGAACTGTCATTCATGCTTAAATTTGACACTTTACACCTAAGCTTAAACAAAGACATTAATTATCTTGCCCATTACAAAGATAGCTTCCCCAATTATCACCTCTAATATCATTAACTCACAGACATTTACCTTCCCCCTCCATCCCCTTTCTATTCTGAAATTTGAGTTGTCCTTTTCATATGTGTTCATTTTTTTAACTGTATCCTTTGGTATATATGGTTGTGATTATTTTCTTCCACTACTTGATCTGAGGAAGTTAGGCATACCGCACTTGCAAATGAAGCCCGGGATTTGAATTTCCCGGGCTTCGCTTGCATGAAGCCGGCCGGTGCCATTTTTAAATGCCAGCAGTTCGAACCCCGTGCCGCGTGTAGCTGTACTCCTCATTGTACGTGCATTCTCCACGAGGAGTACAGCTAGTTCGGATTAGGAAGCCTAATCTGAACTTGCTACTCCGTGCCGCGTGTAGCCACGCGGCATGGGGTTCGAACTGCCGGCATTTAAAAATGGCGCCGGCCGGCTTCATGCAAATGAAGCCTGGGAAATTCAAATCCCGGGCTTCATTTGCAAGTGCGGTATGCCTACATTACCCTCCTAGTTCGAATTAGGAGGGTAGTGTAGACATACCCTTATAGACTAACTGAAGAGTTGGAGCATAAGCTTTCGTGGGCAAAGACCCACTTCATCAGATGCATGTCAAGATAATATTTTAATTGTATCTTTTGGTATATATGGTTGTGACAATTTTCTTCCACTATTTGATCTGAGGAAGTGGGTCTGGCCCACAAAAGCTCATCACCTAATAAACCATCTTGTTAGTCTTTAAAGTGCTACATAGTCCTACAATAGTAGGAGTGTGGCTGGTAGGGGAAATGCAGAACCATGAACTCAGAGTTTGGCAAGTTAAAAGTAATTTAGTTTATTTTTAAAACGAATGTCTGTGTTCTTTTTAACTCAACATATATGTTGCATTTAATGATTTAGGATCTCAGTTTGATTTATCTGTTAATTTTAAGAAGGCATTTCAGTTTACCTTTAGCCAGAGTGGCGCATGATAAAATTCCTTTTGAACTCCATTGTGTTAATTCAGCCTTTCTTTTCTTTTTCTTTTTTTTTTTTTGGTTTTGTTTTTTGTTTTGTTCTTTCTTTAGAAAATTCCCAATGCACTGTGGGCCAATCTGATCCAGGAACGTCTGTCAAACGTGGACTGCATCAAACAAGTAAGAATTGCTCCTTGGAGGGCCAGCGGATAAGCACTTACACAACTCACACACAGTAGTTAGCATTCCATGTCCTGAGCAGGGGAGAGAAAGGGGGCAAATCAACAGGGGCTCAGGAACGGATTGCTTTCTTGAACATCCACAGAGGGAGTTTGGAGCTTTATTAACAGGATAAAGGGGAGGATGAGAGTATGCATATGCTAATCCATATAGTAGTGAGATGATCAAAGGCTAAACAAGCATAGCTTTGTTGATTGCCTGGGGCAACTGGCAGAGTTATAGTGGACAAAACAGATAAACAGAAAATACATAAAAATCAATACATTGATTTAGATTTTTAACTCTCCTTAAAGGTGGGGAAAAGAGCTCTAATGTTTACCGTTTTATTTCAATCACCACTGTTTCTCATACATATCTGTTCCCCCTCCATGCTAGGAAATACTGTACTTGAATATACGCTCTTCTAGGTAATAATTAATAAGTTCATTATTGGGATGCAGAAATGGGCAAGTGAATAAGTTTAAATAGGCCCATAGGTGGGGTGTGCAGAAATGCAAGTAGGGTGTCTTAATCTGGAACTTCTGAAATAGATTAATACTGAGCAAACTGAGTGGTTTGTATCTGAACTAAAGGAAAGCCCAACCGCCACCCCTTGTGTATTTTCTTTAGATCTGAATAAATTGTTATGGTTTATTGAGTAATAATCAGCCCATTATTAAGGATTATTTACTGGAGCCATAACAGTCTGTTGGTTATAAAGCCGCTTTCTAAGATCTGCCCGAACACAGGCTATGCAGGATATGGTGCACTTTTCTAAAATGAGTGTACAGACCTCCACCTAAATTGGGTTCATGGGGGATGCTGAAGAATCCAGTCTGCAGAGTATGAGAGGTATATTGATTGAATTGTGCCACAGCTTATCCACATGCAAAATGAGATAATTAGTACTTCCCGCCATCACATGTTTGTTGTGCGATTCACTGTTTAATGAAACCCTGTCTTTTTATGACATCACTGTTTGGCTTGTTCATTGAATAAAGCAAGGACATTATTGAAATATTGAAAAATCCTCTCCTATAAAAGCCTTAACATCAGGGACAGGTGATAATTGCAGTTGCCAAAAATGTCATGTAGCCCATGCTTCTGTAGTGTTTCCATGATTTGTCCTGCATTTTGCAATGTTCTGCAAATTCTAGGCTTTCATTTTAAAAGTAAAAACAGAGTTCTTGTTTATTTTACAAAATCAGCTACATTTAAACACCCAGGGCTAGAATATAATTATAACATGTCATGGTCCCATCATTGACAGGTAAGACCAAACCATGGCTATCACATGCTTTGGCCACTATCTCATGCGTTAAGATGGTAGATTTTGTGGCACTGATGGTGTTAAATGTTCTATTTTTGTTGCAAACATATAACCATGACCGCATGGGTGGCGGGTAAAGGTCCAACTGTGGAAAGCAAGTTGAAGCCCCGACCCCATGCCTGAAGTCACACATTTTTCCCCCAACATGCCCCTCCAGCAACTCTCCCCCGTCCCCCCAGCCAAGCTCTGCCCTAACCCAGCTGAGGGCCAGAGCTGCCATGCCACAACGCAGCCCCAGCCCTCCATAGGCTGCTAGGCTGCCACGCAATGTGGCCACAGCCCCTCCCCGGTGGTTGGGCAGTAAGGGTATTTTTGGGAAGGCAATGCCTTCTCTTGCCTACATTACTTGCCGTGCATGCATGGCAATGTAAATGGTGTGCTACTATTTTGTGGCACAAAATGCTCTCAGCTAAATACTCGACTACTAAAATGTGTGCTGTCCCATTGCTCACCCCATTATCATCATAAAGTCTGAACTTAAAAGTTTACGTGCAGCCATTCAAATGATAGAGTGGAAATTAAATCAATAACAACAAGAAAAGCAAATGCATAAAATGACATTAATATATTGAGATTACATATTTGCTGTTCACAAAAGGCCATACGGTGGTACCATTATTTGCTTTGTGTTGCCTATTACTCATTAAGCGATTTCATTCAAATCTAAAGAGAGGGTATCAAAGGAAGAAACAAATCACAGTCTGTGTGTCCTTACATGGAGAAAAATGTTAAATAAAGCGCTCTTCAGTCTAGCAGATAAAGGTGTAACATAATCCAATGGCTGGCAGCGAAAGCTAGACCTATTCAGACTGGATAGAAGATATAAATTCTTAAGTGAAAGGAATTAATCATAGGAACAATTTATCAAGGGCCATTGTGCATTCTCCATGATTGGCAAGTTTTAAATCAAGATGGGATCTTTTTCTAAAAGATGTTCAAATGAAATTATTTTGGGGAAGTTCTGTGGCCTGTAATTTAAGGTCAGACTAGATGATTAAAATGATTCCTTCTTCCTTGGAATCAATGAATCTATTAAATTTATTTCTAACTATTTTAAATACCTTAATATATATTTAGCTAAATATGTGTTTACTAAGGAGACTGGAGTCATCTGAAAAATCAAGGTATGCTTTGTAACCTTTCAATAAGATTTTTTTTTCAAGTTGCCATGTATTTAAAGACCCCAAACAAATATATACTGTCACTTTACAAAGGGAAATTCATAGACCAAGTACCCAGTTCACCACTGCGTTAATCTAGATTTATACCAGTGTAACTCCCTTGAAACCAATGGGGTTACAGCTGCGTAAAACTGGAGTGGCGTAATGGTGAATTGGGTCCCAGATATGTAAATTACATAATCTATGACAAAAGGCACACTTTTATTAGTTCAAGTTGATGCTTCTTCCCTAAATCTGTTATTTCTCCCTTTGAATCCTCATGTTATAGTAGTATGAGTCCATGAAACTGAAGACATAAAAAACTATGGAATAGCTTTTCAGTTCATTATGTATAAGACTTTGCCTCCCCCTTCTTTTTTAAATGGCCCGTCTTTGTTGCATTTTAGAATGTCATGGCATGCTCCCCATCTCCTAGCCACTGGGAGACTTGAAACAATCATTTTGAATTGTTAAAAAGAAGTAAGTGACGAGATTGGGAGGGGGGACCTTAAATGTCTGGGAAGTGGTTGTCAGTTTTTCTGTACAAAATACTGTATGCCTTAATCCATAATTTATCTGCTCATTTTGAATTTGCAAAGTAGAATTAAACTTTTGCATTGCAAATCACTGTGCTTGAATTATTTGGGTCTGCCTAGTTTCTCTTAAAGCTTTTTAAAATCTGATCTGTTTTTTTTTATGGTGATAGATGTTTATCCCTTCAGGCCTAATATCTGGTGGTATTTACTGTCTTTGCATAAATGTACTAAATTCACTCTGGAATTAAGCCTCTTGGTGTAGCTGTAGAATATGTTTAAAAACACAGCTCTATAGTACACAGTCTTGTACATTTATGTGGTATTTGAATTAAATAATTTAACTACTGAAATCAAGTAAAAAGAATATTGTCAGCTGTGGATATAATAGAATCCAAGCAGACTGGGGGAACAGAAACAACCAAAAATGTATATCAAGGTAGTGCTGTGAGTCTGTCAAAGATCATGTGGCAAGAAATGATTCAGTTTATTGCATGATTTACCCTCACAATTGGATAGGATCATTTTACTATTTCTCTAGTTGAGTAAAATCAGCAAGCTTATCATGTCACTTAATAGTGATACAGTTCTGGCATAGAAGGCAGGGACTGAGATCTAATGGTTAGACCAGGAGACTGGGAGGTAAGATACCTGCAGGGCCACGTCTACACCAGGGAACTATTTTCAAATTACTAAATTCGACTTAATTCTCGATTTGAACTAGTGTCTCCTTACTAAGGGGAGAAAGTGAATGCAGTCTGAGGCAGGCTCCATGAATGTGTATGCACTACCTCAGACTTGGAGCCCCACGAAGCACTCTGGGGAGTAGCAGGAGGCTTCCTGGAGGCCAGTTAATTAGAACTAGCAGCACTGGAGTGTCCAAACTAACTTATTTCGATATTACTACTTTGGAATTAGTGTTACTCCTCATGAAAAACAAGAGTACAGAGTTTGAATTCCATGGCCTATTATTCCAAATAAAAGGCTTGGTAGTGTGGACACATTGCTTACAAATTTGACCTTTGGGAGGGTTATTTTGGACTAAGGAGTCCTGATGGTTATAAAGTGCTAGATGGAACTGCTTGCTTGTACTCAGGCCAAATCCATTGAAATAAAAATTAATAAAAAAACACAGCAAAGCCCAGAATGAAACACAGGAGTTCTCATTGCTAAGCATGAAACTAGACTGTGTCTCCACGTATTATCAAAGAAAGGAGTGTCTATGCTAGGTTTTTCTTTTTACTCAGATTTGCCACTCTTACTACCACTGGTGCAACTCCACTTGTGGTAAAAGCAATGGGATTGCTAGTATAGACAGGTTACAGGATGCTTCTAGTGTTTTAAACAGCTTGTTGTTTAACCATGGTCAGATCAGACCTAGTGAATTGATAGCTGTTGGTGCATCTTGTGTACTAGTGCTTTCACAGTTGTCCCCGTTAGTAGAGGTGATTGGGAAATTTTAGAGAAAGAGAGTACAGGCAGTCCCCGGGTTACATGGATCCGACTTACATCGGATCCCTACTTACAAATGGGGTGAGGCAACCCTGCACTAGCTGCTTCCCCCCAGCAAACCAGGGAGACGCGAAGCTAGCCCCCCCCCCAGCAGACCAGGGAGACACGGAGCAGCTTTTCTCAGCAGACACCTCAGCTTGAGAATAAAGGACTGAGGGAAGTGAGGTGTGGGAGAATAAAACTGAGCTCTGGAGAAATGTTTGGCTAGAGTTTCCCCTACAATATGTACCAGTTCCGACTTACATACAAATTCAACTTAAGAACAAACCTACAGTCCCTATCTTGTACGTAACCTGGGGACTGCCTGTATATGCGGACAAAGCCTTCAAAACACGTTCTGTTTACTGGTGAATAATTTTTCAGTTTATAAGTTTTTGAGAAGCACAAGGGCATTTCGGCTACAATTTCTAACCCCTCTCTAATGTG